GGGGAGTTCCATCCAGGGTTTCTGGGACTGGGGATTTCCCCAGGCAGACCATCTTCCGCGGTGTCGGGTGCGTCAGTGACCGCGTGACCGGGCCGCGTCTGCAGCAAGCGTCACATCGACCGCGCTGGAGCTTGTGGCACTGGAGCAACCAGAGCTGGTGCGGCGGCGTTGCTTCCTTGGAGCCAGGCTGAAGGAATCTGGACAGGCTGATGGACCGTCGCCAGACTTTTGACCCGCGAAAACGAGAGTTTTCGATCTTTTCCTTTTTGCGGTGCGAGGGTCAATGACTCCCGAATCGCGCCCAAGCATATATCCCTCTAATCTACCAGGTGAATCAAAAGGGCGTCTAATGATTTTTGATGTTCACCTATCTGCAAGGGGCGTCTAATGAGCACCCCTTTCAGTAACACATTCCCGATGTAAGAGAACCCAAGTAACAATTCCGACTTAAGAGAACAACGTGAACAAATCCCGATGTAAGAGGACAAGGTAGAACCACAAAATCCGAGATCGGGCGACACGGAATGACACGGTATGGGCTTACATCGGGTTATGTCCATTGGACACTCCTTAGGCTTAAGGGGTGACCAATGAGCACCCCTTGGTTTCCTCGGGTTTTGACCACCGACACGGAATGACACGGATTGACACGCAGGCAGCTGACGTCTCCAACGACCCGAATCCCAAATCCTGTCCATTCACAAGTATCCCTTAAAAAGTTGTGATTCTATACGAGGATCCCTCAAAAGCACTTGTCAAACACTTTGATTTCTAAGGGGTGTCCAATGGTTTTTAGCTTAAGGGGCGTCCAATGGACACGGTTTCGATCTAATGCGCACCTAGGAGTAAGTAGCCACCCCCTATTATATAATCAATCCCAGCTCGACCCCTCCAATATTAACTAATTTGATCTATGGATTTTCCCCTTGGCATCACCCTAATATTTTTTTCATGTGCAGAAACCTCCCCCTATTAATCAATCCCAGCTCCCCCCCGAAAAGAAATATAATTGGTTTTATCTTTAATTATCTATATTTTCTTTTTTTTAGTATTCAATATCTTTTGGTCCATGGTGAAACTTATCTTCCAGGTCCTCATCTCATCATCCATCATCAGGTCCAGGTCCTCATCTCATCATCCATCATCAGGTCATCACCTTTATTAGGGGGGATGTGGTCCTCAGATACCTCCAATCTCAGACCTTGTTGACCTTGTTGACCTTCTAGGGGGGGGTTCCTCCTTTATTAATCCTACATTTGCATTACCTGGTAGATTCCCCAAGTACTTCAACTAAACATGCCCCGCCTCGAAGCGACGGGCGCCAATGTTCAATGTAAACCTATCCCAACTCACCATCAAACCAGGTGTCCAAACAGTAATCTGGGCTTCAGCACCCACTTGCCGCATGATCCCTGCCCCGGTGACGCTGGGACAGCTATGGTTGAAGGCCTCCAAGCCACCCAGTTCCTGGGGGCTGCTCACGAGTGAAGGCGAACGCTCGCACGTGTCCGCAGCCCGGCGAGCCCGGCGTGGAGGATCAATGAAAGAGATCAAAACGTCTCCAATTCAAAAGTTCCAAACTGACCAGGACACCATCACAATATCACCTAAGACACCATCAGAACTAGATCAGGACACGAACGACGCCAACAGGACAGGAACGACGCCATCCGCCCACCAGATCTGACCCGAGGAGGCGAACCGCCAAGAGTGTTGACTTTGACGAACACATGGCGCCTATAGCGATGCGATGCTATTGGAAACCAAAAACACGGAGGTGGCTGGGATAGAAGCCCAAAAGCCATGAAGTGAAGGTGGTGAAATGGCTCACCTTCAACTACTGGGGCCACCTCAAGGACCTGGGGCCACCTCAGACGTGGCGGAAAAAAAAGACCCTAAAGGGTCCTGATGGTGAACTGGCAGGCATTTCCCAGACTTGGTCAAAGGGAAAATGGATGCAAACCAATCATTTTGGATAGTTTTGGGGAGCTGTGGTTTCCTGTGGATATATATTCCCTTGAAATGCTTAAACCAATTCTGGGATCCAAACGCCTGGTTGTTGTTAAGGTTAGCAAGGAATGAGGGTGGCTGTTTTTTCCACAATGATCCTTTCAGGAATCTTCATTGGGCGACTTCCCTGATTCCCTACAAGTCTCACCAGCGAGACGCTAGTCATGTGATGTTCTAGGTTGCCTAGCCTGCCTTGACTAGGCTGGAGGAGCTCAGGTGGCTCAGGTGTCTCATCTCTATCGTCGCTCATCAAGACGGAATAGCTCAAAACCCAGCCTGCGCTCAATTTGAAAAACACTTAAAAGCATTGTCAAAGTTGTTTGTGGAGAAAAGTAAAAATGGTGGTGATCTCTGCAAGAAGAGCGGAACTGGGGATCATGTCCTAAATGCCAATAGTCCCAAGTTCCAAGCTCCTGCATCTAGTGAGTTCTCGAATTTCATGGGAATTCTCAAGAAGCTGCTTGGGAACCTCCCTCCTCTAAAAAGTCAAGAAATGGAGCTGCAGCCTACCACCCCCTCACGTACACAACCCTTTTAGCACGCCCAATTTCCATGGCACAACCCGCAAAAATTATCCTTCAAACCTGATGGCATGGACCCAAATGGAAGACGATCTTCCTCCACGTTCACCACCTGAGCTGCTCGTGACTTTTTCAGGTTCGTGGCACTTGGGAACCGAGCTGGGCTCCAGGAACCTCAGCCTGAGCGAACCACCGAACAACCAAGGCTCCATCGGATTCAGGGGCGCCAGGTCAAAGCTGCTGTTGCTCTGGCAGTGTGGCGAATCCTGGGACGACGAACTTCCGGTGGTCGTCCAAAGTTCGGTTTCGCCAGGTTTGGGATCCTATCCTTACAGTGCCTACAGGTCTTGCAGACCTCCTTTGACTGGGTCGAAACTGCAAAACCATTGCTCAATGAGGTCAAGGACCAGGTTTAACTCGGGCCGACTGGACTTGGGCTATATATCGTGACGTGGTATATCGGGATAGCCGCTGAGCAGGGCTTCTCAACCTCTCTGGACCTTGTTGTGCCGGACTCCTTGGCCTGGATGATCCTGGATACCAAGGACCCCTTCGGAATATCTCCTTCTTGCCCGAAAAGAAGCACGACAGGTACAACCCGCGTACCAGACTGCGCGTACCAGACTTCGTACCAAGCACCTGGCCCGCCCTGGAGTATTTCGGAGACCCGTTGTCCGAGGCAACGGGTCTCTCAACTGATATTCACTTGGAACCATCAAAAATCCTTCTTTGATGAACGGAGTTGGACATGTTCCATGAAATAAAGTATATACCTGGATCCTTCGGAGTACCGTAGAAAAGGTAGAAAAGGTGACATGACCCGAACAAAAAACAGGTATGTATGTACCCATGTTCTGAGGTACGAACTGAGACTCCAGATCTGGTCATTTGATGTCAGTTGAAAGGGTGGGTGGATAGAGTGGAAGCTAATCCTAAAAGCTGTGACCATTGTCCTCTTGATCCTTGAAATGTTCATTGTTGATTCTTCTGGCTATCAATCTACACTCTGACCCACTGGAAGTGGATGGCATAGGCCGTGCAAAGACCTTTTTTCTACCAGCAGGGAAATGTCCACGCCCATGTTGGTGAGTGGGAGTGTTTTTAGTGCTCGGATGCTTTGAATGAATCTTCACTCGATTTTGTTCAGCCTCAACCAGCACCGATTTCGGATGGCTATTGTAGGACATATAGTCTAGTCCCTTGTGCTATCAACCCACCCCTTCCATGGGTGCTGGACTCGTGAGACGCTTGGGCTTCAGTTCCAAACGATGAGAGCCTGCCGAGCCGCAGGGCCACTTGGGGTGGATTGCCATGAGGTGAAGCACCAGCTATTAAAGCCCGCAGCGATCTCCTCACACCGGCGTCACTGAAGCGTGTGACGCGCCGCAGTCGACTGCGACAACGCGCGGATGATCACCAATGATCGAGGTTCGGGTTTTGGAAGACGATACAGCGAAATCCGAAAGAATTAAGTGGATTTTCGCACCAAGCCAGCGATCTCTCTCCAGTCGGAAACGGGGACCCGTCGCGACGCGTCGCGAGTTAGCGCGCGCTCGTCGCTCCCGCATGGCTTCGCATGGCTTCGTGACGTTCGACGGAAGGCGGGGGCGGAGTGTTCCGTGTTCCACGCAGAGCGGAGGGTTCTCAGCACCGCAAATCCAGTGGAGGTATTTGGCAATCCATCTTGTTCGCATGAGGATGGGTCAGAAACCTGGAGCTCCAACACCATGTAGCGGTTTCGACCTCCCAGGTAGATCTCCTGGTTTAGACTCACACCCGTTGAACCGAATTGAGCTAATCCATCGACCTTGCACATCAATTCCCGATGTCAATCCTGCCAGCAAACGGCCATTTTTGGACCAAAGCAGCGCTCCGACCTGAAAAAATGCTTCAAGATCTGATTCCAAAAGAAGCCGCTAGTTTACGATAGTTTACGTATAGGGAATACATGGGAATACCACGGATTCGGGATGGTTTTCTGGGGAAAAAGACATTGACATAAGATCTTTAAGGGGCTTTAGCTTTAAAAAACCCCTACGGTGGGACCGGTCGGTGGGAAGGTCGCCTCGTCCCTTGCATGGACTTTGCAAGGTGCTGTTTGACCCGACAGGTGAACCGGTTCGGCACACCAGGAAGCACCTGGCCAGGAGGGTGCTGGTGTCTGAGATTTCCATGGTTTTCCCAACGAATCTCCGAAACTCTTGACACGACGCGGACGCGGACGCGTCCGCGTCGTGGAGTGCCAGTCGTGGTGCCAGTCGTGGTGCCAGTCGTGGGGTGGCGTCATGCCGAACGGTTTTACACATGTCTTAACTGATGTCACACCAAGATCCAGATCAGCCGAGCTTTTTCCAAAAACGGAAGGCCGGAAGGCGAGACAAATCTCCTCATAGTTGATCACGCTCCACAGCAGTAAGGACTTCACGACCACATACACAGCCACCGAAAATGTAAAGGTCATCTGAAGCATTGTCAGGCGCCAGTCTTTGAAGATCACCAAGTGAGGTGTTTCGAACCTGCGAAAGAGGGTTAGGTTCCATCATCTTCTTGTGGTTTAGTGAGTTTAGTGACACAAAGATGTCAATGAACAAGTGCATGGCCATGCGAAACGGAAACTGTGTGTCTAACAGCACAACCTACTTGGTCAGTTGCTTCCAAGAAGACAGCATGCCACATGTCCATCTCAGTTCCATGTTAAGCCGTCTTCCCCATTCTCAAACGGTCTCCAAGAGGCTCGAACACTGAAATGAGCCATCTTGCTGCGCGCTTGGTCTTCTCTCTCATGCTGTGGTCTTCACAGCGCAAAACAGAGCTCCGTAGCTGCGGACAGGGCTCCAGTCGCACATCAGAAGGACGGTCTGACTGGACTGGACCCCCAAGAGTGGCCCTGTGCCATGGTGCCAGAGCGAAAACGAAGCGAAAACGAAGGTACGACCGGAGTTTGGAGATGTGGCATGTGGCTGTCACTCCTGGGAAGCCTATAAATCATCCCGATTGGATCGCAGAGATGGGCTTGCCCCGCAGATGTTTGGAAGAGACGAATTCCAGCACCCACTACGGGTGGTTTATAGATGTTTATCTAGAACAGTGTAGACCCCCCCCTGGCTATGTATGGTGCATCGTGATAGTAAATGATGTTTAACTTTTTAACATGACGATCTGGTTCTGCCATGACTTTTGGCCAGCTCATCCCACCAATGATGTCCGTACTTGGGAATCATAGACGGGTCGGCGCCAGGGGCCTCGTATTGGTTGTTTGCGACCGGGGGAGGGGCCCCTCGATTCATCAACCAAGGGCACTACCAAGGCCATCCAACCATGTTGCCCAAAACACCAGACCGGATGGCATGTGCCACGTACCTCAATGGCATCAATCTTCGCAGCGAGCCTCGGAGAACCGGTCCAACACGTCTCCAACAAAACCACCTGACCTCAATATCACCAGCATCATCAGATATCATCAGCATATCCTCAATCTCCAGACTGTTCCCCCTTCCACTCCACTCATGTCCACAATAGTCCACACCGCACGAATTGCCCTTCCACTCGCGGGAATGGACGATTCGTCGACTCGCCGACTCGCCAACCGTTGGTCGCCCAAACACCGGTCGACAGACGTTTCAAATGGTCGCCACATGTTCCACTCCGAATTGACATGAAAGTGGATGGCATGGACCGTGGCCGTCTACATGGTCTGATCCAAAGAGTCACGGAGCTTGCACCGACCCGATCCAGCTGGAAACGTTGCGTCAACACCGGACGGTCAAAATGAACAGCTGTAGCAGCTGAATGTACCAGAAGGGAGTCAAAGAAGTCAAAGAGGTAAGTCTCAACTTGCTGATCTCAAGGACGGTCAAATGAATGTAGCAGGACCATGCGCTGGACATCGGTGTCCTCGACACTCATGTCCGGTCGACACCCATGTCCGGTGGTTTTCGACTGTCACTGGGGCCCTTCTAGGGACCCCGTGGAGCCCGTGGCGCCCGGCACAAAGTCTGGCAACGAGAGGCCGCCGATGGCGTGCGTAAAGAGATCCACCTGGCGGTGAACTCGAAGTGAGGCAGCAGCTGAATCAGAAAAAAGCTGCCCCAAACGCCCCAAACGCGGCTTGGGTGTGGGCGCCAGCGGGTCCTGACCCATGTTTTGGAAACAAAAAATTGCACAAAAGCAGGAAACAGGCCACAAAACCAACATCTTCCAATCCCCATGAGGCCCTCGTGTGGTCTACTATACATTCCTAGATCTTCCAACTGTGCAAAAATAATCTGCCTGTTCATCTATGAAATCAGCCAAGTTCGCCAAAAAGTTTGCATAGGAAGATCTATCGGTTGATGAGACTGTTCATGTGTGATGAGGGCCATCATGGCCCATCATCGGTCGATTCGTTAGGGCCGGGCCATCCAGCGTGAAAGGTCGGTGCAGGGAGGTTTTGTGCTTTGCCAAGCCGACGAGAAGAGACTGGTCAACCCAAAGCATGGCTCAGGAATGCTCAGACAATGTCTAAAAACCGCTAAAAGTCCATCCGTCCATGAAGTAGCAGACTGCAGACTGCAGACTGCCTCCAAATCCTCCAAAACCTGTAGGAAAAAAAATAAACAAAAAACGCCCCACGGCATCCAAAAAAGAACAGCATTTGGATGCAATTGGCTCTTAAGCAGCATGTTGAAGTCATCTTCCTAGGCGTCAAAGGTCGGCGAAATCCAGTGACATCGAGTGGATTAGAGTGGCTCCTCACATCGTCTGGTCCTGCCGAGTCCTGGTGGCCTGAACGGTGCGATAGGAGGTGAGATGAAGATCAGGATGGTGGCCTCATTTGTAGCGAGCCATGAAAACGAGCATCACAAAGCATTTCAAAGCGAGAACGTTGACCATGAAAACGAGCATCATAAAACAACTTAAGAACATCTTGAGGCACCACCTTGGCAGTTAGCGATGCGAGAACATCGCGAGGCAAAAAAAGCAGAAACATACAGAAACCCATTCCACTGTTGAACCTTCGAAACAGCCGAACCAAAAGATCACAGAATGAGCATGATGTCGTGATATGTCTTGAAAGCTCATCACCTCTTTTCATCTCTATACCTGGCCTTTCTGTTCGAAGAGAACATGAAAGCGAAATCGGCTCAGTCACCTTCAGCTTCAGCCAGCTCCCCCACCTGCGTCGGCGGTCGGCGGGTTTCGAGACGCGCGCGAAAAGCATGTTCGCTCGCCTCACGTCGCTGGAGTCGCGTCGCCGAAGCACGTGGGTTTGTGGCCGCCAAAACAGCGGAAGAGACGTCCGCGCTTCAGTTTACACCGCTTACACACCACTTGAGCGAGAGGCCCCCAAAGAAAATATATCGTTGCCTCCGGAAGCCACAGAAAGACCCGACAAACAGCAGCAATGTAATCCAAAACAACCCAGACACCTCGTGTCTGGGAGCTCCCAACACGGACGACGCCGGGGGAAAAAGATGTCATTCATGCTCTCATGCTTTGGACCCTTCGGTTTCTGTCCAAGTCGACTGTTGGAGGTCTTGCAATTTGGAAGGCCCTTTTTGGAGAATGGTGGTTCCCAAAACGGAGCGTCTTTTTCAATGTAGTGTGCTTCATAGACCCTGAGAGTCCAAATGGCTATACCATGGTAGTGGTAGATTATGACTATGACTTCCCGGTCGGCTAAAGTGCGTCATTGGAAGTTCTGGAATATGAATGCTATCATGCTGTTTCAAGAGATCAATGATTTCGTGGGGCTTCCATCCACAAGCACAGTTTGTTAGCGCCTGGTTCAGGAACTTCATTGCTGCGCCCCAGTTTTTCGCCACGAGGCAAAGGCTGATGCGGGTACCGTCCGGAGCCAAGGTCCAATGCGGAATAGCAGCCATTCTGGCAAGCAGGACTGGGGGTATCTCAAAATCAAGGACCCAAAGGGCCTACAAACTTCTCCAGATGAGTTGCATGCAAATCGCTGCTAATCACAGGTTGATGTTTACAAATCCTGCAGATCCTCAAAAATAGGCCTGTTGAGGTTTACAAAGGTCTGCTGTCATGCATCTTCGAGCAAGCAAGAGATGTTTTTTGAGGCCCGATCTGCGACCCTTTTTGGTGGCACGTTAGTACATGGGATAGGCCAAGAAGGGCTAGCTGTATATATACATAGAGAACCACCTGTGTCCTCGAACTACTCTTGAAGTTCTTGAACCATACAAGTACTTCACTTTACTGAAGTTCATCATACAAAACCACAACGGAGGTTGAAGGATGACGGACTTCGTTCAGTACGCTCCGGATAGGGTTTCCTTTTCACATCCAACACAGGGCTTCAGCTTCGGCCAAAAAAAATCCGGCGCATTGGTCTGTCAGAATGAATCCACCCAAACGTGGAGCATCATTGTTCACATGGTTGAGCATTGTTGCTCACATGGTTGAGCATTTCCTCGCATTGGCTTCTTGCCACGCTAAATCCGTTCTCTCGCTTTCGTGCTGACCATGCATTCATGTTTCATGTTCTTGCTGTATCTTGCCCCTGCATTGTGGACCAACCAAGTTGTGCCTCCGTGTCAGATCATTGCAAGGAAGAAAGAAAAAGAAATTGGACGTGTTTGTGGATGGGACCCCCAATATGTGTCGATTAAACAGGAACCCTGTTCGGAAGGGGCTTCGGATGATGCAACACCGACCATGTAATAATGGTTGAACATGGTGTTCAACGGATATGTTGATTGATCCACCATGAACATGCCCTTTTCCACGCATGGAAAATGGAGTTTGGACCCTCGCTTCGCCCTACAAAAAGAAAGAGTCTCTGGCCTCACCTTCTCCAAGAGATGTTTCCCTGGATCCCTATAGCTTCCGAAAACTAACATAGACCCAGTGGTTTTGGACCTGTGGTTTCGACCATTTTCCGAATGCCAACCCAGTGGTTTTGGGGTTCCATGTTCATTTGCAGAGGAGCACATTCCCTGGCTCATTCCCAGTGTTTTTCTCCCAAAGAAAAAAGAAACTCAAACTAACTCAAACTCCCCTTCCCGTCCTTGCAAGGATCTCCTCACGCTGGAGTGATGGAGTCGAGGCTCCACAACAACCACCAATCCTCACCGGGGTGATCGATCGAACTCAGCGCGGTTTCAGCGGCGGGCGGCGGCACTTATTCGGCTGAAAAAATGCCAAACGCCTGAACTGGACTCGCCTCGGAAAAATAATGGAGACCCATAAATGACCTGGCCTTTGATAGGGTCATGTCACTCATGTCGCATCTTCTAAAGTACTCTGAAGGTCTCTCGAGAGGGAGGAACTGCTTCGAGTGTCCTTTACTTGCCCTATCTTGCCGCAAATAAAAGCTGAGGACTCATAAGCCATTTCAGCTTTTCGAACCCGTTCACCGCTTTCCCCGTCCAATGAAGCGATCGTGTTTGACTTCAAGGTCACTTCGACTTTCCTAGAGAGGTTGAGCAGCCCATAGTAGCCCTATCCCACTAGGCTATCCATGGCTATCCCATATGTACCACCGAAAACAAACCAGTTCAGGTCTCCAAAAACCGGGTTCCGCCCCACCAAATGCTCAGTCTGAGACTCTTGCAAAGCCTCAGCTCCTCAGAGGTCTTCGCATTGCCATGCTTCTCGGCCAAACCCCCTGCGCAAAAGGACTGGAAGAAGGTCTGGTCTGACTTCTCATAGAGTTTCTGATTCTGGAAGGGATATTCAATTCTCACACCATCTTGCAGTGAATGCACCGAACACCACGAAGTAGGGCACCCTGGTCTTTTCCCACATTCCCCAGCAACACGACCACCGAGGGAATCCGAGGGATCTAAACTGCTCCACATCTCTGAAATCGATGTTCGGCACTAAGCCTCCAAACAGGGGTTCGTAGCAAGCCCAGTGATGGTAAGTCCTTGCTAAGATGTCTGCTTGATCTGCGTGCTCTTCAATCAAGACTGGAGAATACGCCAAGGCATTGGGCACCTGTGCTGCCTTCCATGAAGAAGCTTGGGACGGAGTCGCCCGCCCGTTCGGTATAGAATTGCTAGTTTAATATTAGACTTAGAATGTCGTCTGCGGATTTGATACTTCACGGAAGATATTCCAGAAGGCTAGGCCAAAACATATCCTTGACACTGAGGGGCAAGGGATCAAAAAAAAATAAAAATGCATCAAAAAACAAATATAATTCAGGGTATCAAGAAAAAAACAAAAATGAATCAATAAAAAAATAAACGGACCCAAACGAGTGGAGGGAAGCGCAATAGTCCAACTCGAAGCAGTGATCAAAAGAAAAACAAAAACGCATCAAAAAAAAACAAAAACTAAATCAACCTACACGGATACCTTGGATGGTCCTGTAGGGCCCTTGGGTCGAGACCAACCTATCCACCACAACGGTCGGCCTCTGCCCTCTGTGTTCGGTTCGAAATTGCCAAGAATTCAAAAGATAAGGTGTTTCAGGTTTTGGAGATTCAAGAGGTCACGGTTGAGAACAGGACGCCTACATCTACAAAGATCCAAAGGCCTCGACATCCAGACAGATCTAGTGTAAAGGTGTAGAGTCTAGAGACCCACAAAATCTTGCAGAGGTTCAGATCCAGCTCTTCCAAAATTTTACTGGCGTGCTAGAATGGAATGGCTTTCTGCCCTCTAACCTTTACTACTGTACATTCGGGTGGCTTACAGAAGGGCGGCGCCGCAGCCGCGCACACGGATTCAACTCAACTGCGCACACACATTTATCGGCACTTGTGCCTCATCTGCGCACACACTTGTTAACTCAGCGTGCGCACACCCCACCATGGGGAGTCAAGTGCGCACACAGGCCCTTTCCCGAATGTTGCTGCGTATTCCAAATTTCACCCTGCGTTGCTCACTTAAAAGGGTAGTCAACTTGGAATAGCCACTTCCTTGTCTATTTTTGTTACTCTCCAGTGGCTCACCAAGGGGTGAGTCAACTTGGAATGAGCACTTCCTTCTCTAAATTTTGCCCCTGCATTGCCCACAAAGGGTGAGTCAAGTTGAAATGGCAACATCCTTCTCTAAATTTTACCCTCGGGCGGCCCACCAAAGGGTGCGTCAACTTGGAAGGGCAACATCCTTCTCTAAATTTTTCCCCTGCGTGGCCCACAAAAGGGTGAGTCAAGGTGAAATGGCAACATCCTTCTCTAAATTTTACCCCTGCATGGCCCACAAAAGGGTGAGTCAACTTGGCATGGCCAGTTCCCTCTCTAAATTTTACCCTCCAGTGGCTCACCAAAGGGTGAGTCAACTTGGAATGACCTCTTCCTTTTCTAAATTTTACCCTGCCCACAAAAGGGTGAGTCAAGTTGAAATGGCAACTTCTTTTCTAAATTCTACCCTCGGGTGGCTCACCAAAGGGTGAGTCAACTTGGAAGGGCAACATCCTTCTCTAAATTTTGCCCCTGCATGGCCCACAAAAAGTTGAAATGGCAACATCCTTCTCTAATTTTTAACCTCGGGTGGCTCACAAAAGGGTGAGTCAAGTTGAAATGGCAACATCCTTCTCTAAATTTTACCCCTGCGTGGCCCACAAAAGGGTGAGTCAACTCGGCATGGCCGCTTCCCTCTCTAAACTTTACCCCTGCATTGGCCACAAAAGGGTGAGTCAAGTTGGAGTGACCACTTCCTTCTCAAAATTTTACCCTGTGCACAAAAGGGTGAGTCAAGTTGAAATGGCAACATCCTTCTCCAAATTTTAGCCTCGGGTGGTGCAACAAAGGGTGAGTCAACTTGCAGCTTTCCTGGCCACTGCAGGCAGCACAGGTCCGTAAGCTGGCCACCTGCAGCAGCACAGTGCTCACAACACTCTGGCCACCTCCAGCAGCACAGCGCTGACGACACTGGCCACTGCAGGCAGCACAGCTCCGTAAGCTGGACATCCAAAGGCCTCGACATCCAGACAGATCTGGAGTGTAGAGGTGTAGAGTCTAGAGACCCACTAAATCTTGCAGAGGTTCAGATCCAGAGGCCAGGGGAACAGAGGACCAAAGGACCCGGGGCCTTACGGTCGCCTCACCTCTTCAAAATTTTACTGGCGTGCTAGAATGGAATGGCTTTCTGCGCTCTAAACTTTACTACTGTACATTCGGGTGGCTCACAGAAGGGCGGCGCCGCATATTTTATCAGCACTTGTGCCTCATCTGCGCACACACTTGTTGACTCAGCGTGCACACACCCCATCGGGGGGGAATCAAGTGCGCACACAGGCCCTTTCCCGAATGTTGCTGCGTATTCCAAATTTCACCCCTGCATTGCTCACTTAAAAGTGTAGTCAACTTGGAATGGCCACTTCCTTCTCTATTTTTTCCCTCCAGTGGCTCACCAAGGGGTGAGTCAACTTGGAATGAGCACTTCCTTCTCTAAAATTTACCCCTGCGTTGCCCACAAAAGGGTGAGTCAAGTTGAAATGGCAACATCCTTCTCTAAACTCTACCCTCGGGTGGCTCACCAAAGGGTGAGTCAACTTGGAAGGGCAACATTCTTCTCTAAATTGATCCCCCCTGCATGGCCCACAAAAGGGTGAGTCAAGTTGAAGTGGCAACATCTTTCTCTAAATTTTGCCCCTGCATGGCCCACAAAAGGGTGAGTCAACTTGGCATGGCCACTTCCCTCTCTAAATTTTACCCTCCAGTGGCTCACCAAAGGGTGAGTCAACTTGGAATGACCACTTCCTTTTCTAAACTTTACCCTGCCCACAAAAGGGTGAGTCAAGTTGAAATGGCAACTTCTTTTCACAATTTTACCCTCGGGTGGCTCACCAAAGGGTGAGTCAACTTGGAAGGGCAACATCCCTCTCTAAATTTTACCCCCGCATGGCCCACAAAAGGGTGAGTCAAGTTGAAATGGCAACATCCTTCTCTCAATTTTACCCCTGCGTGGCCCACAAAAGGGTGGGTCAACTCGGCTTCCCTCTCTAAATTTTACCCCGCATTGGCCACAAAAGGATGAGTCAAGTTGGAGTGACCACTTCCTTCTCATAATTTTACCCTGTGCGCAAAAGGGTGAGTCAAGTTGAAGTGGCAACATTCTTCTCCAAATTTTACCCTCGGGTGGCGCAACAAAGGGTGAGTCAACTTGCAGCTTTCCTGGCCACTGCAGGCAGCACAGGTCCGTAAGCTGGCTCGCTGAGTAGCTGGCCAAATGGGGGATAGAACAGGAGTTCAAAAGTGGTCCTTGTTGTTGTGTGTGTTTTTTGGGAGATGCATCAAAAAAATGCATTAACATAGAATACATAGATGCATCAAACAATGCATTAACATAGAATACATGACAACACTTGCCATTGCAGGCAGCACAGCTCCGCAAGCGGGCCACCTACAAAAGCCATCGAAAACCAAAGGCAAAAGCCACCAAAACCCAAGAGCCACCGAAAGCGAACCTTCCTTCCTGCCTTGCTGCCTTTCTTCCTTCCATCCATCCTTCCTTGCTTCCTTGCTTCCTTGCTTCCTTCCTTCCTTCCTTCCGTCCTGGCTTCGTACCTTCCTTCCTTCCTTCCTTCCTTCCGTCCTTCCTTCCTTCCTTCCTTGCCTTCTTGCCTTTCTTTGTTTCTTTTCTTTATTTTTTTATTGATGCATTTTTATTTTTTTCTTGATGCATTTATATTTTTTTATTGATGCATTTATATTTCTTTTTTGATGCGTCTCCCGACACTGAGACTGTGGAGACAAAGAATGCGTCTGCCCGCATGTCCCGCCCGCGGGGATTCCGCAGCTTGTTTTCATCGGTTTCAGGGGATCGGACGCTGTTTCAGGCTGAATGTACATCGCTCCGCACACAGCGGCTGAAGCAAGTCCCTATAGTGGTCAAAGACCTCATTGACGTCATTGTCAGTTCTTCAGGGCCGGAAGACTGGATCTGGGTCAGACTGGACCGGGGAGTCTTCAGCTGTGCAGTCTTTGTGACGTCTGAGCCGAATGTCGAGAAGCCTTTCGAAGTTGCTGCAGGCAGCTGTGGAGTCACACGGGTCCGGGTTGAGACGACTCAAAAAAAGGCCCGTGCGAAGCTCCATCGACTGGATCTGATTTGTATTGATTTGTAACAAAAAGCCACAGACGGTCTCAGACGTCTCCTTTCAACAGGTGTGTCATCGGTTGTTGTGAATTGCGGCAGCAAAAAGAAGCACGTCGCTGAGTGCCCTGCAGCCCAAGAGCCAAAAAGATCTCAAACCTCAGACGGCAGAACAGAGGATATAGGTGGATATGGATATGAATCTCGAGTTTAGAGACTTTCGAAGGCTCCACCCAACTCAATATGGCACAGACCAAAAAACAAGTGCAGCAGTTGCAGTGTGGTTCTAATATGTTATTATTCTATAGTCAATTCTATCAAGCTTGCAAGCACTAGCCCTCGTGGCCGTGGCGGCTTCTCGTCGCCGAGCCCGGCTTTCGTCACGTCGGTATAGAAAGTCTATACGCGCTTCTTCACGGCGCTTCCGATGGCGGTCCCGGCTCATTTCGGAAAGCTCAACATGCACCCACCTTCCAGAGACCATTCAAGATTGCCACAGCTCAAAAGGTTGAACTGGCAGAATTTTGGACTGGGCACTCACTCCTCTTTGAATCTGAAGCCAACTTCCGGAACTCCGAAAATTGCTCAGATATCAGATACTGCAGTTTTTCATCAAAAACTGGTGAAACGTGAGTCCACCAGTCCAGCGTCAGTCCTCTGTCCAACCACGGGACTCAAAACTCCCACCTGCCAAACCGCCGAAGTCCGTCGTCGGGTTCGTTCGAGTTGATGATTCGGTTCAATCCCGGAGGTGGCTCGATTTGGGCCAAAGACGCCGGCGGGTTCGAAGAATCCAGCTGGAGCGAGCTTTTTGCGAGGCTCAAATGAGTTTCTGGGCTTGGGTGGTGGGTGTTCTCTCTCAGGAAACAATGACAGATGCACAAACAAAAGCATGGTGTCGGTTCGGAGACCTCTTCGCCGATTTCGAACAGGTCGGCTTGAGCCCCGCGCCGAAAACGGGTTCATCCTTTGCATCACAGAAGTGGTTGGGTCGACCGAGTCTGGAGAGTTCCATCGAGACTTGTTTCTGGGAGCCGGGGACTTGGGTATTTCCGGGGCCGCCGCGCATGGGCGCATGGACTTTTGGGCGACGCAGCGGAGCGTGAAACCCCATCACTGTTCTGGTCTTTCGTGTGGTCGAGGGTGGGGTGCCTTGTGCGAAACAGGCACCAATACTTCCCAACTTGGTGTTTTTCTGCATGCTGTGAAATATACAATATTGTACAATGTTCTACACTGCTGTACATGGGATTCTGTGACATCTACTCAGCTCAATCTACTGAAATCTGAGTATCTGAGTACGACACTTTAGGCTATTCCCACGCAGCAAGAATTGATTTGCTGTTGATGAAGGACCCTCAAGTAGCGATGATATGGCATGATTCTGGAATCCTGGGTGGAGGGATTTCCTAAATACCAGCTGAGATATCGTTGCCGGTTTTGGACTTAAAACTCTCCATGCGTCTCTCAGTCAGCGCACCTGAAGAATGCTGGCGAGGGACACAGGGTCAGTTCTGGGTTTCCCTCAATTGGCTCAAAAAAAAGGGAGACCACAGCCATACCCGGATTTCTTGAGCTAGTGTCCCCAGAATCAGGATACCTTGTGAAACAGGGAATCTGGAGGCTTGAGAGTTGACGCGTTCCACCCGAAAGAATGAGGGCCCCGTCATGGCATCTAGGTCAAGATGCTGCCTTCCTATCTCAGTGGCAAGCTGTTCCTGCGCCATGGCACCTTTCGCCTTGTCGTTCATCCTCCAACCACCTCACAGAGAGAGTCAGGCGGGGTTCCGGAGTTGTCAATTCAAGACCCGGGAACCTCAACCCGAAAATGAAAGAATGAACAACGAAAAGACCACAGAACAGGGCTATGCATCTTCCTTCAAAAAAAACTGCTTCTTCATCTTTGTTCATACGCGGTGCGAAGAAGGAAAGAAGCGGTTGAAGTCCTCTGCAGCGCGAAGAAGGCGAGTCTAGTATAAATATAGGGGGTAAAGGAAAAGCTGGTACAACTCGCATGTGGAGTTTGGAAAAGGACGCTACGAACGCAGCTCCTGACCACTACTAGTAACAAGAAGCTACTACCCAGACGCTCATGGACCCTCCTTGAACCCTCCTAAGTAGGGGCCGTACCCTCATATGGAGGGGTCTGGACCTTCAAATTACTTCAAATCCCTCTGGTTTTGAGGGACCGGTCGGCCTGTTTGGAGCGTCTGGGTAGTAGCTATTTGCTTCAAGCCGGCGGGCCCCCGAGTTGGACCACGTCTGACGGAAGCCGCTTTTGCACGGCGTTTTCATGGCGTGATTTTTTCACGTGGGGAGCCCTTCATCGAACTCCCTTTTTTCATCCCCTTTGTTATTTGCTCCTCATCTTCGTAGTGTTCTTGTGTGACCAACTCCAGTAACTCCAGAGGTCCTTACACTGACCTTTGTAGGGCTGTCACGTTAGGAGCGCCGTGACCTCCCGCCAGCCCAACTCACGCGCCTCCAGGACGACCACGAAGGTCTGCGAGTCCTGAACCGTCTTCGGTTCACGAAACCAGTGCCAAACCCAGCCAAGAGGTCCCAACGGTTTCCGGACTGTTTCACTCTCCTTGCTTAGCGAAACCAAGTGGATGCCAAACCTAGCATCTGTTCTTTCTTCTGCGGCAACTAAGGGTCAGGGGTCCCGAAGTAGCTTGAAACGTGAGCAGTCATGCCATCTGCTATCACAGCCGTCCCATTCAGATCCACTAAGTGCCCTCCCAAATCCCAGTGCTTTCGGCTCCAGGGCCACCGAATCTTGCGGGGAGTGTTGCCACACACGTGGTGCTTCCGAAAGATTGCCCAGCACGTCCGGCCACCTTGCAAGCCTTCGCCCCGCACCGTTCGTCCCGGCGCACGGCACGGTCGTCCCCGTGCCGGTAGCGGGTTGGGAAGATCCGGATGGAGACGTAGACGTCGGTGGCGCCGGAAGAACCACTGGGACTGCCTGGGACTGCCTGAGAGTCTCCAGTCCCAAGCAGAAAGAGGGCGATGTTACAAAGAGCCATGTCTAAATGAAGGAGTTCAAGCAAGCCGGAACAACCATTTATAGTTTCTGGTTGTTTGGATTCCCAGGTGGGTATGTTTGGGTTTCCAGGATACACAGTGCACTTGGACGAGCGCATCACATGGAAGTGGAAAACCACCCTGTTCGTTACGCATCGTGATCCATCGGGTCCATCCAATCGCAAGACCCATGTGAGTATGCCGGAGTGCCGGAGATAGTCAGAGGGTACTCTCCCTCGAACTCACAGGGAAAGTGGAATAGAAACAATACACCCTGTTTGGTCTTCGGCACATGGTCTTCCGAACGAAAGGAGCCATGCATGGCCATGCATGGCTCCACGTTCACCATGCAGTGAGTTCCAGGGAGAGTCATGATCCACCACTACCATAGTGGCAAAATGAGTTCAATTTGGACTCCCAGGCGGTAGGAGATCACGTATTCACGTGATCCCTCCGCGAAGCTGTGCTGGTTTTAGATGACATCCCATGTACTATGGCTCTCATTTTGCCGCTCAGCGCTCTTAGATGGTCTCAGCCAGCTCTCATCTCTGTGATTCCAAAACCTCTATCTCGGTCTTTCAGACCATCCCAACATCCAGACCAACATCGCCACGTGGAAGGTCGTCTCCGCTTCGACGGCCGGCAAGTTTCCCCACCCCAACCCGAAACCCCCGAAACCCCTCCTCGTCGAGCACCGTTTTGAAGTCCCACTCATCCTGGAGCACGGCCCACCGGGAAGTGTTTTGTGGGCCCGGTCCGTTGAGACGGCCCACCTTGGTGTCCGGGCTTTTAACACTTGAGGCCTCAGGTCCGTTTTGGTGTCACGCATGGGGGAAACCTCGTCACTGCTGTGGGCCTCTGGGCGGCGCTTGGCTTGATTTTTCCGTGGACGAGACACCCATTCCGGGCAATCTTCGTTTCGGAATCTAAATCCCCCCAGAGAGTTTGATGCGAAAGCCAGAATCGATCTGGGAAACCTCATGCATAATCTGGTCCGAACTCTGTCCTCGGATTCCGGCAAGGGGCATATGGCCTTCTGAGAGAAGTCATGCCTGTCAAGCAAATCGACTGGGTGAGGATGGTCTTGGAGCGAAAGAAGACTGACTCAGTTAACCTCCGAAGACTAGACTCAACTCTTCGATGCGTGTTTTTGGGAAGCCAAATGAGGCCAGCACTTGTCAAGGCTTGCTTTGAATGGCACTTCTTTGCGCATGTGACACTCAAAACTAAGCTTCTTACGCTTCTTCTTGTGTAAATGCATTCTCAAGGCACGTCGAAACGTGTAATATGTAGTGCTAGTATTATATATACCCACAAAGTCAAAAGACGATTCTTTTTATAGTCGTTTCGTTAAA